AGAAAACAAATAACATTAGCTAACATTCCATCACAAATCAGACTAAGAGGTTCCCGTTGAGTATAATGGACGTGAGGGGTGTTAATACCTTCCCTTTACATAATCGACTCTCGAACCTAGAATTCGGTTGCAATGACCATGTTCTTTTCTTAAAGGTTTTATCGATATTTTCCTATTCCTTCTTGGAATGAATAAAATTCGGTGGCGACTCTGTTCGAACATTTTTTCCGCAACCATTTGCGAATGATCGTAGTTTTCAAGGTACGACACATGCCGTATTATTTGAACACTGGATATCCATTGAAATATGAGGTGTATCATTCTATAACCAGAAATATAGAGAGTTATAGAAGTTGCGACCGACTAAAGCTTTCGGTGCAACGAACGGGGGGTGTACCTACAAGGTTAGCACTCTGATGCTCAAGTCAGTATGTGAATAAATAGAGCGTATTAAAATTGTATTTAAAATTTTCTACATGAAATGACGCCATTCTCTATATATAGGGGAGAGAAATAATCATTTTGATATCTTTCAGGCATGAAATGCGGGGATCCGTTGGATGTGCTTGAGGCATGAATCTCCTGCAGTTGGGTATATGATAGTCCAATGATTAGGAGCTATAAAAGTGTGATTGAGCGCCCAACCAATACATTTTGATCCGGAGCATTTCGACTTAGGGTGGTTCGATAAGGGAGATATAGCCGACACAAAACAATTTCCCCCAAGACTTGCTGGGAGTTCTGGAAACCGAGAAGTCTTTAGTAACAATGGTCGGCTATATTAAAGTTTTGTCTTGGTTGCTTAGAGGAATGAAATCTTTGGCATACGCTACTGAAACAATGAAGAGATGTGAATTTAATGCTTTCTTGTCATTGATTTGTTGTCGTTTTTTATTGTTGACACGTCACTCTAGGCATGCAGGTTAGGAATTGATTACCCTACCTAGGGTAGTCAAATGTTTCCCACCCTCGTTTGGATTAATGGGACAATAAACTTGTTACCCTCAAATATTTCTACATTATTCAATCTAAATTATTGATCTTCATTTATCTCTTCCTTACAAGGATTTAGGTGATGTTTTCCTACTTTTTTCCTTGTCGTTACCACCTGTTTATCTATTTTCTTCACATTGCTCTACTTCATTTTGTGAATCCTAGGTCTCTACTTGATTCATTGGTTCGACAACGGTGATCAAGGTGGAATATTACTCTTGGGTCGAACCAAAGTATTTGGCCCAAGAATCTGCTTTCGTTCAGGGGGAGAGAAATGCCATTTGGTCTTTAGAAATAGGGTTTTCCTCTGATTGGGGCATTATACTGGTTCCGGTAAAAAAAGGACATTTTACAAGTTTGAAGGGTGTTATATCCCTTTCTACGCCCAAATTTTTCTGAATTTGGATGTTGTTTTTTGCTGACTTCTTTCGAGAAAGAAGTTCTATACCATTTTTCACGTTCCCTCTTCACAACTCTACCATTGTGCATGGGGTTTTGTTCGGGTATTCCATTACTGGTATGAATACTTGGGGAAAATGGGTTTGGCTTCTCGAGATCTCTTTTTTCACCTTTTTGAAGTATTGTCGTATCTCGAAAAATGAGAACACAACCCCGCGAAGCGCAATCGCACGCTCGTGGGCTGGACTTTACAGGGTCCCCACCAAACTTTATTTATTCCCAAAGAGAAAAAGGGAGATATCGATAAAACCCTTAAAATAAAGGATAATGTATGGTTTTCGCAACCAAATGAGGGTTCGGGAGCCGATTATGCAAGGGGAGTGTATTAACATCCCTCATGCCCGTTGTACTCAATGGGAACCGTTTAGTTAGTTGTGCATGTTAGTGTTAGCTTAAAAGTTAGGCTTATAGCCTTATTATGAGAAAGAAATAGGACAAAATGTTTTTTTATTAGGGTCAAAGAAGAAAAGGACCTAAAAAGGTTTTTATTATTAGGGGATTTTCAATACGTCAATGGGATAAAATCAATTTGACTCGCCTAAACTATAAGTCCTCTGCCCTTGTGCATTGGGACACTTTTTCAAAAAATTGAATATTTCTACGCCCCCGATGCGTGAGAATCTTTCAAGGGATAAAAACAACCAACCAACCAACATTTTCGAGAAGAACTACGGTGCTCTCATCCTTCATCTAACATAAGGGTCTGTAGGCATATAGTTGTAAACTCTAGTGAGTACAATAATAAAAAACCTTTTAGGGTTTATCTTATTAACCAATTTTAAAACATTTTGTAAATAAATAAATAATTAAACAATGAATACATAGTAAGCAAAAACCTTAAGAGCATACTAACCATAGATTTAGAGGAGGATCCCATTAGTTACAATGGAGGTGAGGGGTGCATAGTACCTTTCCCTTGCTTAACTGACTCCTGAACCTAGTCTCTCACCCTTAGTTAGTAGGTTTTATCATTATTTCTTTGTTCCTTAGGAACGAATAAAGGATGATTCTATTGTGTTGCCTTTTCTTCGAAAAAAATAAGTTTTCACTATAATTGCCTTAATGTCGCGAGAGTGAAAAATTGCTTAAGAGTCGCGTTGTACTTTTGATTTGCTAAATTGTTCCATTCTAAAGTGTGATTCTATTTTGTAATATCTTTGTAAAATATTTGAAGGTTGCAAGTTAAACCTGAAAAAAATTTTGGGTGAATGTTTTTTAGTTAAGCATATATAAAAGCTCTGGTTGTTGTTAAAAGGTTCATGAGTTAATCCTATGCAAAAGCTCAAGTTGTAGTGGAAGGGTGTTTGGGTTGATCCTATAAAAACCCAAAGTTGGTTTTATTGGAAATCACAAAGGAAAATTCTTGGGGACTGAAGTAAGCCAAGTGGTTGTTGAACTAGGATAAATCTTTGGTTCAAATCTCTATATCTCTTATATTTTTTATTTTTAGTTATTTATTTTCTTTTCGATGCATTTCTCACTTTTTTTTCACTTATTCCACTGCTATTTTTCAGTTTGTTTGTTTTTACTAACATAAACGTTTTCAAAATTAAAGGTTTTTGTAAATTGTTTTTTGAATTTCAAATATAACAATTCACCTTCTCTTGTGTTTGGAGACACTTAAACAACACAATATCCTTATCTCCATCCACATTCATTTTAAGGTTTTCCGCTTCTTGGAGACCCTCAAACTTTTCAGCGTCTTCACTTGGACTCCCCTCAACATCGGACTCTTGTTAATCTCTATAAGTCTACAGAAGAATACATCACAACTAAAGGAGGAACCTCTAGTATTTATTGGTTTATCACTTTAGTTTGTGAAGAGACATCCCTTATCTCATCACGACTCGAAAAGTCTATGAAGCAAAAATTTTAGGTTTTTTATATTTTTCATAAATAAAAATAAATGGAAACAACTGAAAGGGTAGAGAAATAGAATGCTATCTTGAGTAGTTGCAGAGTTTGAGTTTCAGAAATGAATACAAGACTAGGAAAGATCCATGAATGTTGCATGAATGAAGATGAAGATCGAAAGAAATAAGGAAATCACTAGCGAAGTAAAGATCACACAAAAGACTAGACGTATAGAACTCTAGTACAAAGGAAGCAAAATGAGTAATTAATTGCATTGTACCAATTAATAGGCATCCATGGAGGATAAATCTATGATAAAAAATCAACAGGACATTAAAAGACACGATCAACAATCCAATATCAACCTCAATTCAATAACAACACTTAACTATACTCAAGTGATGTAGCGGTGTCGCATTTCCTTGCCTTTGAAGCCTAGGGCCACATGGAGGACTTTCACAATGAAACATTTCAATTACAAGTCCAACATTTAATGTGTGTATTCTTTAGACCATCCCCTCCCACTTAACATGCCACTGATTTCTTCCCATCACAAAGGGTCGTCCAAAGACCTTGAAACGACAAAGAATACCATTCTGGAGGTCGATCTAAACATTTTTTTTAACAATACTTACTCCACACCAAATAGCAATAATTTAGGGGCAAATATTTTGGGTCAGCCAAACAACTCAATAAGACCAACATAGTTTGAAGGATCCAATCCAGAATACCCTTGCTCGGGACTAACAAACAAGTAGACCTTCATTATAAGGTTGCACACCAGAGTCAATCAACGACCTCATATCAGTTGTCAAAATCAATACAACAGTCTCTTGTGTTCCCCGCTTCACTTGGCGTGAGCGGTTTACATTGTCATCCATAAATAAGGGTAGTTATGCGCTATACTAAGGTATAATTCACTCATCCGTACAAGTTACACCTCTTTGATCTTACTGACTTAGATGTTAGAGTATTAACCTTGTATATACGCCACATCATCCATCTATATTAAAAAAATTTCAAACAAATTTTTTGAATACTAATGTCTCTCAATCGGCATCTTTGAATACGCAAAAATAAAAAATATTGATTGAATGTACGCTAAATTTTTTAAGAAAATGGTCTGTTAATCTAAATAAATTGAAATTCGCAACAAAATGAAAAAGAAGACAACTCGAGACAAAATCACAAACCAAATTTTAAAATGTTTTTAAAAATCACTTATTTAAATAAAAGATAAAACAAGATAAAGAGGTTCAAAATTAATTATAAATCACTTTTCTCTAATAAACGATGAAGAAGAAGAAAAAGCTAGCTAAACCTAATTATTTAAAGCTTAAAAGTTAAAAATGAGATGTATATTATATAGGCATAGTTATGGAAGCATTAATGTCTGAAACCAACAAATCCACGTCAATACATCGCAACTTATTGCTGTGTCGATAGTGACGGCTTCAGTATTGCTAAAAAAGCTGAATATATAAAACATTGAAATTTATTCCTCAACGGTATTTTGCCTCTTGGTTCTCCCTTCATCATCATCTACTTATGTTTCTTCTGTCAACCATTATTACTCCTCACTCCTTAAAACCTTCCACCCCTTCTTTTTTCTTTCTTTCTACACTCTATAAATCACCCTAAATATTTAGATTTTTCTTCTTACTTCTATTAGTTTTTATCAAAAAAATTTGTGCATGTCATACATGGATCTAAAACCCTACACCATCTTCACCAACTTTCTCTTTCTCTTTCTCATACTCATGACTCTCCCTTCTTTTTCTAAAGGTTTGTACCTATTTTTATAATATATGTGTATGCTTGTTTAGTTTATATAATTGAATTGTTTCTTGGTGTTATGTTGTTTATTTTAGGAGGATCAGAAGCATTGGATTCAGAGATTTATGAGATTGATTATAGAGGTCCGGAGACTCACTCGTTTGTGCCTCCACCTAATCATTCCCATGGTAAGACTCATTTACCTCATCACAAAAGCTATGCAGATGCAAACAAAGCTATGGGCTTAACTACCATGAAACAAAAGGTAAGTTTTTAATTGAATGAGCTACTCATTCATCATGATCTAGGGATTGATAATAGAAATTTTTATGTGCAATTTTAGTTTTGAGTTCTTGCTGTTATATATGGATTTATTAGCTATAGTACTTGTTCTAAGATCATTATATTTAAAGTATCTCTTATGAAGACTAGTCCCTTCAAAGTGAGATTCATTCAAGAGGTTTGCATCTATTTAACAAGATAAAAATAGAAATGATCATTAGAATAGTTTTAAGTGTATAATAAAGTAACACTTATCTAAAAGTGATATATATATATATATATATATATATATATATATATATATATATATATATATATATATATATATATATATATATATATATATATATATATATATATATATATATATATATATATATATATATATATATATATATATATATATATATATATATATATATATATATATATATATATATATATATATATATATATATATATATATATATATATATATATAATTACAACACCACACTAACATGAAAACTCTAAAAGCTTGGAGTGTTCTTGAATAATATATTTGTAATGAAGCACTTGGACTACATATATGTCTTCATCTCCTTCTTCTTATATTAGGTGATGTGAGACTTTTTTTTTATTTTTAAATATGTATATTTTCAATCAACATTAACCATCTCTAACTCTATTGAAAACAAACCATTAACTTTCATTTCATTGCATCATAAATCAAAACAACTTTCATACTACATCATACTACATCGCTTAAAAAAATTTCACATTATCTTCGTCAACAATCATAAATTAAAAGAATTATCACAATTTGTTATGACAAGTAAATTTCAATTGGAAATATGCTACTCAAAAAAATTTCACATATCAAAAATTTGGATGAAAATTTATGATGCTACATTCTTGTTAACAGAAACCTCTTCAACCACCAACGTGTTCACATCACATATTACATTATTGTTAAACACAATCACAACATAATGACATAAAGTAAAAACTTTAAAATAAGAAAAAAATCATGATCATTGTAAAATAATAACTAAAGAATAACATTAGATGAAAATTGTTATAACATGTAGATTATAATTTTTCAACCACCACATAGCCCCCCCCAGTACACGACCACTTTTTAAACAAAATATCTAACTATATTTCACAACACTTTAACACAATAGTATAAATAAAAATAAAAATTCAAATACAAATTTAAAATGTTTATGGATCTTGTGAAAAAAATACGTAGATTATCCTCAACCACCACATAGCTCTCAGTACACTGCCACTTTTCAAAGAAAATATCTAACTAATCTTACAACACTCTAACACAATAGTATGAATGAAAATGAAAATCCAAATATTGTTTAGTGTTTATGCATCTTGTAAAGAAGGACTAAAGTGTATATATACTTGTTCTCCTTCTTCCTTTACAATAATAGGTAATGGAATACTTTTTTTTAACTTGTATATTTTCAAAGAAAACCATAAATCTATTGTTGGATTCAAGTGAGAGTAATTAAGTCACACATCACGTATGAAAGGTGATTTAACCTTAGTCAAGGGTATATTTAAGGCTCAATAACTTCGAGTGTAGGATATATTTGATGGTTCAATAAAGCATATGGCCCACAAAAAATATCTGCTAACTATCAAAGGGGGTTGTCTGATCAAAAGGTAAATATATCACCATGATGTTATAGATAGTTACATCACCATTATGCCAGCTATGTATCCAAGGAAGGTTCTAGAATCTTGAGAACAAATGTGGACCTTACATAGGAAATATGTTATCCAAATAAATGATTGAAGAAGAACTGTTAATATAATAAATTATACCTTCACACTTATCCATCTGGACAATTTTCCAACACGAGAAGATTTTAGGCCCTTATAAACCTTAGAATCTCCTATAAAAGGATAGACAAAGGTTTATGAGGGCCTAAATTGGTCAAGCACGTAGTTACTCCACAAAGTCCCGAATAATTTCTTTCTGTTGTTGATTTTGACACTCATATAGAGAATCCTGAGTATGTTACTTGGTAAGAACAATATGTTCTTTTATGCACATAGCTATTATCTATTGTTTCAAATTCTCTTCTTTCACGATATTTTCTCTTGTGTCATTCATCGCAAATGTGAAAAGATGGTTGTGAATTGTCATACACAATGAAAACTAGGTTGCAACAACTCAGATATGAGTTGCGATCTCTTTCAAAAGGCACACATAACATCATTGAGTTTCTCGATCGTGTTCATTCCATTGTTGATACTATTATGTGTTGGACAAGTGACTTTAAGCACAAGAGGGGGTGAATTGCGCTATTTAAAATTCACGATTAACTAAATGGTTTTATTACTTAAGAAGCAAGTTGTGTTAATATTTTTAAGATCAGAGAGATAAGAAATGAAAAGTAAAACGGTAAAGTAAATAACAAGAACTCAAAAGATTAAGGGTTAGACATATGGAACCAGAGAATTATCCAGATTCGTCCAAACATTTTCGTAATCCCGTCCCAAAGAAGTCTTCTTGAGATTTCGCTATGATATTGAGCTTTAACAGGTTATGCCTATAAACCTTTGATATAAGTGAACCGAGAGATTTTACATCAACTTATGCTCAACCAAAAGAGAGCTTTTCCACATGCTGAACTCATGAACCGAGTAGAGATTTTACAAACTGATCTCAATAACCAAAAAAAAAAATTCACGTCGATTTCTATAACCAAACATGTATTTTGAAAATGATTGACCTCAAGAGGAAAACTCAATTCTTCAAGAGTATCACACTCAATTCCGTTGTTGGTGTTGTTAACAGTAGGTCAGAGTTTCTTTCTCTTGATAAATTTGAATCCTTTCTTGCTTGCAAGAACTTTGTATCGAAAAGAATAAAAAGGAAACCAGAGAAACCATCACATTTAACCTAACTCAAGGAATATTTCACCCTTTCAACCTGCAAGATAAATTTCTATACAATCAAACTTTAAATCAGTTCAACATAAACACTAGAGGTCGTGGCAGCCAATTCCTTGGAAGAGGTGGTTATCATGGTGGTAGATCTAGAGGTCGTTGTGGTCGCAATATCAATCGAAGCTTTTAATGTCAGATTTGTAATAAGCCTTGTATGAAGATAACTATTATTATTATAGTCATTACATTGAGTCTTGTAGTTTTTATGGAACTCCTCAGTCATATGGTGGTTACGGAGCTCCTCGGTATAATGTGTTGGTTCACCATATTTATATTCCACCTATTATTGCTTTCTTACGTGTTTACGTTTTGATATTTATTTAAAGCAAAGGTGTCACATGCAAGTATACATGTATGTTTGATTACAGCAAGTGATAAAGTAAAGATATTGTACACACAAGGAGTGAAATTGATTTAGCTTTGAACTATAAGTATTCAACCTTTGTTTAAAATAAGTATAAGCAAGGTAACAAAATACTAATGGTAATAAGTAGCAAGATGTTACACAACAACTTAAAATACTAAATAAAAAGGGAATAAAATATCAGAGAGTGATTGATGAGCTAAGATCCATTACTATATTATTGCTGAAATGTATTCATGATGTGAAGTGTCGTGCCTCAAAAGGCCAGAACATGATCTAGTGGTGTATCTCTACAACATTAATGCATGCATAACTAGGGCAAGGGAACAAATCTCTAAGCCTCACTTATAACCCTAAAATACATTTGGTTTTTATTGTGAATTACGATAAAATTCAATATCAATTTGTGAGAAAAAGAACAATAACAACTAAAATAAATGGTCTTTAGAAATAATAATCCTTACACAGATAATATAGCAGAATAAGGCAAGAAAAAAACTGAAGGTTTGTTTACCCAGTTCGAACAAACGATCTACTCCAGGGGAGATATCAGCTCTCCAATTCACTATACTCAGAAAGTTGTTACAAGAGATTACAGATGAGTTACACGAAAATAGTCTTCGCCTTCAGGTTCCCAAGAACAACCTTGAAGGCACTCAAGAACAACCTTATTTTCTATCCAAGTGTTTCCCTACCTTTCCAACTCTCAATATATGAATCACTCAAACCTAAGGTGTAATCCAAGGTTTTTTTTGTGCATAGCTGAAACACTATGTTATATCTTTAAACCCTTGGTCTCCCTTGTTGGTGAAAACTCTAAGATTTCCACACACCAAACAGATAAGAGATACATATTTATAATAGCAAATACCCAACAAACAAAGCCCAAAATCACATGGATCCATGGACCAAATCAAAAAAGCTCGAACGCACTATTCATCGTATGGACACACTATTCATCTGTATAGACGTCACTATTCATTCGTACAAATATCACTTTTTACCGACCGATTTTTTTTTCCTTTTTTTTCTTCGACTTTTCGTCCGATTTTTGTGGTAAATGCAATCTCCAAAATATGTTTTCTTTCTCTTCATCAACAAAGGTTTTAAGGCACATTTACAACAATCTCCACCTTGACTTTAAACTGTGTTGATAGCAATTTAACAATCAACAACATTGCTTCTCTCTACCAAGTTGAAACTTTAATCAATAACTTTGATCAAATTCAAGTAACCCTTGAATCTTGATCTCGCAACTTAATATCCAAGGCTAGCATAATCGTTCATTTGAGATGCTACAATAACCCTCCTTACCTTATCATGAGTCAAATGATAATCAGAGATCTCTGTAACCATTCCCTCACTACTGCTAACATCCATACTAGGAAACTCCACCTCAAACTGAGTTTTCTCCGTTATAGTTTCTCCCAGGTTTCTCCCTTGGTTTTCACTATTCTTATTCTAAAGAAATTCTCTACCAACCAAGTAAATTGTTTTAACCTCAGATTTTCCCCAAAAACTCAATAATAGCTTAGTGATAACATGCATTTTTATCCCTTGATTTCTGCAAAATTTATTGTACTCCTCTGAAACTTTCTCAAGGCATTCATAACGCCTTAAACTCAAATCCCATAGCTCTTTCTTGTCATGAAAGCCTCCACTAG